CCTATTTTAGAGTCATTATGGGGAAGGTGGGATCAGAGGATCAAGGCTGGCACTCTCTCCTACACGGTGGAGACCAGTAGGTGATCTCCCAGGGCTTCCCGCTTGCCCCAGGTGGTGATGACCCACATCTCCTGGGGGGGTACCAGAGCCTCATCAGTGGATTTACCAATTGCACCAAAGTCATTTCTGTTGATGGCGTTTCACCAGCAAGGGCTGTGGCTCATTGTACTTGAATGGCCCCGGGGTACATCCTGGCTGCACATCCAGGGCCACAAAGGAGCTCCAGCAGTGCAGCCCTGCCCCATCCTCATCATCTTCCCCTTTCTGCCACCAGCAGCTGCCCACAGTGCCCTTCCTCACTTCACAATGGCTCTCGTTTTCTCCAGCTCTGCTCATCACCACATTCGCACACAGCACTACCACCAGTCCTAGGCATTTCCAGGGCAAGGCTCGTGCTATTCACAGGTTTCTCTGAACTCGGTTCCCCCCCTTAGCTGTTGGGTCTGAAACCTCTTCCCTCCCCCTCCTAAAAGCAATGCTTGCAAGCTTTCATTTTTGTTATGACAGGCTTGAGCTTACTTCAGCAGAGCTGCTCTCCAGCTGGGCTCCCTTTCTGAGGGCAGATAATAGCTGTAGCCATAAAAAAGAGACAACTTTTTAACTGGAATGGCTGAAAAACTGATGCTGCTGTGCTACCAGCACCACTGGGCAGAGCTGCAGCTCCAGGGATGCCCCACGCCTCCGCAAGCAGCCCTTCCGCTGCCGGGAGCCCCGGCACCCTTCACCCCTGCCCGAGCACACGCAGGCAAAGAAACCCTAAATGGGTCACAGCCCTGCCCACCTGTGCCCACCCTTTAATCCCAGCTTTTCACTAGAGGACCCTGAAACACAGCAGTGATGACCTTGCAGCAAGACGTGTAAATGTGTACTCACAACAGGCTCCTGGAAGCACAGATGCATCCATACAGACATCACCGACCACAGGGGCATCAGCCAGGTGCACAATTAAACTCTGTTGCACTTCTCTCGGATTAAAGCCCAGCTCTTTGCTTTCCTAAAACTGTTCCTTTTCTGTCCACACATAAACAGAAAGGCATCACTTCAACCATGCAATGCCCAGAGGTTTTCTCCTCAAGCAAAGATTTAGGGATAGTGGCTGCTCCCCAAGCAGAGTGCTGATGGTGAATTCTTTGCACTCCTGCAGAGCAACAATTTTGCCTTGCTGTACCCAAATGTAGGCAAAGCCAGATGCCAAGAGTTCACCCGCTCAGTGTGTTTCAAGTGAGTATGTGCTTTGGTGAAGCTGAGCAGAAGTGGACACGCACCAAGTATTTGGAAGAGTGAACACAGGCTGAAGTCAGCAAGGCAACAGCACACAGCTCGCTGTGTTATCAGCTGCAACTACAGGGCAAAGCTTCAGGGAGGAAAAATGTCTGGAGTTTAAATGAGAGCCAGAAGAAATGTTGCTCTCTGTGCAAAGAAAGGGCCTTATGCCACCTGTGGAGTTGTTGGGATGAGTCAGGGTCACTCATTCTGCAGCAAGTCCATTTTCATTTGGTGATGCAAGTTCCAGTGTGACGGTAACAGGTGGAGCCAAGGACCTGGGAAGAGCCCCCTTTGCACCATCACTCTCCTGCCAGCACCGCTCCAGGCTGGCGCAGGGCAGCCTCCGAAGCCGAGTGAGCCCCGTTCAGAGGCCAGCCCTTCTGGTCTGGCCCAAAAACAGCATGATGCATCAGGAAACAAAATGAATGGCTTCATTCTGACACGAGCCTGAAAAACCTGTTCACATGAAGCACACGGAGGTAGCAGACAAGTTCGATTCATCTGCAGTTTCCTTAACCAGTGCTGTATTTTAATCAGAAACATTCTGGGGTAGGACTAAACACCTTCAATGATTTCAGACCAGTACTTCATCTTGCAAGTGCTGCAGCTCCTTCTAGAAGGAAAGCAACTCCGTGCCTAAGGAGGGGAAGAAGTCAAGGCACCTGAGCTAGAGGCTGACTGAAGGAGAGGCAAGCTTCACCACTGCATTTATGTTTCTATGGCATAAAACATCCATGAGGGCTAAGCACAACACATCTTTGAGCTGTGGGGCTCATGTTGAGCATGCCCTCAGTCCAAGCATTATCATAGAATGGCCTGGGTTGAAAAGGACCATAGTGATCATCCAGTTTCAACCCCCCCGCCATATGCAGGGCCGCCAATCACTAAACCAGGCTGCTCAGAGCCACATCCAGCCTGGCCTTGAATGCCTCCAGGCATTAAATCCAAGGGTCATTAGTTAGTGTATTTAAACCAGTCTCATGTACACGTAACACTCTAGCCTCAGCCCAGCTTGTTTGTATAGGTAAGATTAGAGCCTGTTACCTCCCAAATCACAGGAACTTCTCTCCATATATCTGAAAGATAGGGGCATTCCAGGGCATTTGCTTCCTATCACCTGGTTCTAGTGGAAAATTTAATCCAATTGAGTACAAAATTTGAATTACTGAATCCTGTCATGGTCAGATTCCTACACCCAGGACAGTGCCTGGGTACCAAATGAGTTCAGAACCACACTCAGGCTTCCTCTGACAGCCCCACGAGCTGTAGCACACAGCCATCAGCACGCGGCCAGGCACAACTGACTGCTCAAGAGTTGACCTCTAGACGCAAAACAGCCAAAGGAGACAACCTCAGGTAGCTCAGCTGAGACCCTAATAGTGCATGCTCTGAGGTCAGCCACATGCATGAAACAAGTGTCTCCAGGTTCACAGAACAGCCTCAACTGATAGATCCCAGTTCTTCAGGATATTTGCATTAGCCTTGCAAGTCAGCACACCTCAGACCTGAAGCACAAGGACCAGCCATTATCTGGAAGTTTGACCATCCCAACCCACTTTAGCAGTATGAATAAAGCCAGTATGTTTGGAAAGCATTTTCAAACTTTATTTACAACTGTCACAGTGACAAAAATGTAGTTTGAAAAAAATGCTAGCTTCTCCCTGAGGCTCAAAAAAGAATTACAGAAATATAGAATGTATATTATACAACAGGAGGAGATTTACTGGAGTGCTTTGTTCTTTAGATAACGTTCAACAACAAAGAAATACACACAATACTTCCAAAAAAAGGATGCAGACAGAAATATGCAAGTCTTTAGGGCAGACAGCAGGTCTGAAGTCCAAGGATTGCCATCTCATTGCTGCCCACAGGGTAGTATCTTTGATATACAGCTTTGACTTGGTGGTACAGACTGGAGAGACCGATAGAGAGTAACACTTAGAAACAAGACAACTGGCTGGTATGCAGGTGTACAAGCTCATTCCAGTAAGACAGCAAGACTAGAACAAGTGTTACAGATACAAGAGCTGAATCCATCACTAGGGAAAATGGTATCATGACCATTCAGTGATCAACTGTCCACCAGGACGGGCAAGGAGCATGTACAACCGAGTCTGCGTTGCTGGACCAGAGGCCAGCCACAGTGTAGGAACACTGAATTTCTCCTGCTTTGTGCTAACTCATCTCCAAACTCCCATCTGTCTGAAACAGTTATGCAGAGCTGATAAATTATTGCCATTATGTTTGAACACAAGCAAGACAAGACTAAAACAATCCTGTTAAAAGCAGTTCCCAACCCCCCACCAGCATTCAACTACTCATGAGGTATTAAAAATACAAATACACACATGTCCAAATAGATTTTAAAAATTGAACCAGTTATAAGCAAAGGGGGGTGGCATTGGGATTATTATGAAAGTTTGGTTAAGGCCTTGACATTTCTTTTTCTCTTCCATTACCCCAGATTTGGTTTAGGTGGTAACTGTTCTCATCCTGTTCCAAGACCGACTGGTTCCCAAGCTGGTCCCCAAAGCTGCAAGACCATCACTTTCCAGGAAAGCAGTGGGTCACCCCCCCAGCAAGCAGACTGGCCGCCTCCCCAAACAGAGACAAAATACTTCTCTTTGGAGCAGGCTATGGCGAAGGGGACACAACCACAGACTTCGCAGGTCAGTCTGCAGTTTGTTAAAACATCCACAAACATCTCACCCTTGCTATGAAGCAGAAACAGACCTTGTCTCAGGACACCTGGGCTAATTCTCTCCCAACAGACTGCTCCTCCTGCAAACCCCCTTCTCCCCGTGGTGATCCACACTAGATCTGGTGTTTTGTCTTCAGATTACCTCCAGGTCTGGCAGTGCTCCCCACCACATACACTCCTACCAGCTTGTCCTGCAGTGCCAAGCTGGAGGAGATCCCCCACCCCAGCCCTCACGAGCCCATCGACCAGTACATTGGAGACATGAAACCCTACAGCCTCAAGGGCACCAATGTACGGAGGCATAATCTTCACTCTCTGGACACTATAAGACAAGACTGACCACAGCAGCCTCAAATGGGAGAGAAAAATACGAGGTGTTCACACCTACAGGAGCATCTTCCATCTGATGCACACTACCCAACACTAACCGCCTGCAAGATGAACTAGGGCCTCGCAGTAGTGATGACAAGCAGCAGCCTAAACATTATCCTGCAAATACAGCTGTGCAGCGTTGGAGAGTCTAAAGGCAAACAGAGGGGGAGAAAACAGCTTTGGGAAAAGTGGCTGGAAAACAGGCTCAACAGCGAGAGCAAGAAACCCAACTACTCCTACGGACGCTCACGTTACCCAAGGAGGTGCCGACCTGTAGAGAGCTACAGGCCCCTCGGCAGGAGCCATGCTTCACTATGGACACCCTTCCACCCGCCAGCACACAAAATGGAAGCTGTAAGAAAGGCAAATCAGATGACGGCTCTGGTCTCATGCTTTTAGCTGGAGGCAGCTCCCAGCCGAAGGCTGCTGCCTCCGGACTTTCCTGCCCCTCCCCGAGCTCCCCCCTCCAGCAGTCCTCGTGTGGTCACCCTCTGCCATGTGCTTGGAATTTCACTGCTGCCTCCGTCTCGGAAAAATACAGATAGTGATCTCGAGAACAGCAAACATTTCTCTGCGTTTACTTCCTTCCTTCCTCAGGAGGTCTGGTGACACCGAGGACTTCAGTTCTCAATACAGAGAATACAAAAAAAAACTAAGATCTTGCAGGTGCAAAATTGAACTTGTCTTTTTTTCTTTTTAAAAAGACTTTCAAGAGAAGTGTGGCTCTTCCTTCAGAAGGGTGTAGTCCCTTGCCTTTCCTCAGATGCCATTTATTGCTCCTTGTTGTCCTTCTTTGCATCTTCACAGTTTTCTTCCTCCTCTTCCTCCTCCTCCTGCACGAGGAACTCTTCAGGTGGCCATCTCAGCTCACCACTCTCCACATCACCCTCCGTCGGCTCCACCACGATGGAGGGCAGGCGGTCCTTCAGCTTACAATAACGGTCAAAGTCCGACGGATCGGGGAAGATCTGAAAGAGACAAGAAACAGCCTGTGAGAGGGACTCCACTCAAGCAGTCTTAGCCAAAACCCAGCTCTCAAGACACTTGGGTCTTCAGGGCAGACTAGTCAGGACACAGAGTAAACCACTGAGTGATGGGAAGACTCTTGAACTCATAAATAAGCTTCTCTCACCTCTGAGTATTGGAAATGAGCACTGCCCAAGCAGCTTCCAAAGCTTGCTTGGATAGCACTCAGCAAACAGGCATCTGCCCTTTTGGATATTTAACCAAACACCTCACCCTCTCCACCACTGCTTTTGCATTAATGCTCAGAGTTTGCACACTGAGCTATCTCGATCAGAGAATCTGAGATCTCATTTCCTGCTGCCGGTCAAGCTACATGCAGAGAACAGGCTTGTTCTCCAGGCTCTGCTGCTACAAGGGAGAGGAAGCACACAGCAACCCAGCACTAGAGCGGTCCAGACCCTTCCAGCAAGGGTCTGCATCTGGTATCACTCCAGCACCACAGCACCAGACCTAAAGAGAAGCTCAGCTGCATTTTAGAGACAATTTTGGCAGTGTTCTGCATACTACAGCTACCATACATCAGTGACACTCAGCAGGACGACACTCCTTTTATGGAATGGTTGGAGACTGGGCCATATTTCTTAGGGCAGGAGGTACCTGTGGCATGGCATAACCAGCAATTATGCACCATATTCCTCATGCAAAGAATGAGGACCCCCTTATCTCCAGCCCCCAAGGTGCACAGAGCACTACCTTACCCCTTCCCTCCTACCCAGAGCTTGACACGTGGGTGCACAAGCTCACGCACTGCAGCAGCACCAGGGCCCATCCTCGCTGGCAGTGCCACACGGATGCATGCTTTGATCCCGCTAGGAACCAGGACAAAGACAAGTATAAGAAAAAACTGCTAGTGCAGCATCAGCAGGAGCTTTGCATGGCTAAATTGCAGCATTACTTCCAGGGATGCCCTACTGGGGCAACCCCAGCTCATCCAGGAACTGCTGGGTGACAAGGACCAGTTGCCATATCAGATCACCTGGTTGGTAACCAGCAGATTAAACAATTGACCCCTGTTTATTGCAAACAGGTTTCTCAGAGTGCCCATTTAACATTATGGATGCATTTAAACACCCTGAAGATGATCATCCCAAAATGCATTTTCCCTCAAGGCTGTAGATGAGGTGAGGAGTCAGGCCCTGTACTTTGAACACCAGCTGTATTCAAGCAAGCCATAAGAGCACCCTCAAAGGGAACAGCACTGCCAGCCTCAGACAGGCACACTGCAAGACCTCATCTGCTTTCATCTTTGTGGTTCCAGTTACAAAAGCAGGTCCCCCATCCAGGAGCCCTGAGCATTAACCACAAAGCATCATAATCCTCATGCCGATCATGCAGATACCCACCACCTTGGGAAGACCTAGTCCAAACCCCAAACTGGAACATCAGCCTACCAACTTGTTCTTCAGCCTAGCAAGTATTAACCACACCATTCCCTCCTTGTCAATATTCAGTCTTCTACTGCTCAGCCACATTTCTCCCTTGCATCCAAAGGTCTGTGGCAACCAGGTTACCAACTTGAGAAAGCCATCGGGTTACTACTCAGTGCAAATCCAGGAAAGGCAATTCAATGAGAAGGTAATGCACAACACAGGCTGTTCACACACATCCACCTGTCCTGGGGACAGTGCAAATGAGACAGTAAGTTTCTTGAGGCTTTGTGGCTTCTGCTTGGCCCAAGGCAGTTTCAGACACGCAGTGCATTACTGGAAGTACAGTCATGGCTCTTAAGCATCAGCTCATTATCTAAACTTGGGACAGAAAAAATATACCCTTGACATTACATGGTTTAGAAGGTTGCAATGGAAAAAGAAGTGTGGTTCAGGAGGTTACATAAGCTGATAATATCATGAAAATAGCCTCCTGTGCAAGAAAAATAGCAGTATAATAATTAAACTAACCTTTGGCTGCTATCATTTTAAGCACATTAGGTCAAATTGGAGCAATTTCTTTGAAAATAGCCTGACAAATTTTTTTTCCAGAAACTAAGTATAGTCATTTCCTTACAAACAAATATCCCCAAAATGTGGTGCGCAGCTTTTTTAATTAAAAAAACCCCTAGCACAATCTTATCTCAAACAGCTGCAGGACAGGCCGAACCCAAGAAGGTCAGAATTTTTTCCACTAAGTCATGCTTTTTAATAGTTGAGGCAGCATGAAGTGAGATGTTGCAACTGCACTTTCAAGGGGTGTGGACAGTCAAAAAAAAATACACAAAGGCAGATTTCCTCACATGTGACAAGCAGGGTGACACGGCAGGCCAAGCACAGGCACTGAAGGAAAAAGATTTTCAGATTAAGACTGCACATCTGGGGAAGCTGGGTGGAAAAGTTACCCCAACCAGCCTCCAAAATAAGCTGCATTGTCACACTCCATAAAAAAAGAGAAAGCACCAGCTTTCCACTGTCCCACTCCAGCAGTGCCATGCCACATTTGTTGGTCCCATATGCCTAATCTGGTCCTACTCCAGATTTAGACAATGGGAAGAAAAAAAAAAAACTGTAAAACTTGCAGGAAAGTCCCCACTGGGAATGCAGCAGCTCTGCTCTGACCTGTGAGCTCTGCACCCTTTGCACAGCAAGCAGGACAGCTTGTCTAGGAAAAGCCTGCCTGTGAGCCTCTCTACTGGCATTCCCAGCTCAGGCCTGTGGGAGGAAGGCTTTGCATCAACCCACCATCCCAAGAGCACAGCAGACCATGTTTTGGGAACTGCTCTCCTCATGGATCAATCCAGATAACATACAAATGGACCAAACTCTTGCCTTGCAGCTAGAAAGGGCAGTGAAAAGCAGAACTTGAAAGCTTGAAATAATTTTAGGAAGATCATGTTTGCCTCTGTTTTGGATGATCTAGTTCTACTCTCCCTCAGTGAAGTCTTGGCAACAAGAATGGAAAGTTTTCACTGCCCTGGGGAGGCTCATGCCCTCTCTCAGCATTCACAGGGATGGTGAAACACCAAAAGCAGGAGAGATGTCACACAATTAAGGGATTAGGGTAGCTCTGAGCTAATCCTAACTGACACTTGGAAATTCAAAACAACTTCCACATGTGTACTCCATACGAATACCCATAGTTAAAATGCCTGTCTCCCCTCCCATGGGGCTGAAAACGATTTCAATTCCATTACAGGGAGACTAAGGTAACAAGATCTTTCCAAATTGAATTACTGGTTTGGGGGAAAGCTTTGCTTCACTGTGGGAATACTATACAAGCCTGAAAAGTCTGCACCAAGAGGCATACTTCAGGTATACGATACACCCCTGATATACACATATCACTCATTCTCCCAGCACTAAAAAGCTAAGTTATGTGCCAGTATCAAGTTAATATTCCAAGTCCCCAATCAGCATTTAAATTCCTAAAATAAAACTTTACTGCCATTAAGAAGCATGGCAAGCTCATTTCAGGCCATATTTAAATCATCTCTGTGTCCTCTTTGGAGGAATTTTCCAGCTATAAGAAGCAGTGCTAATACACACATTTACTCACACAACAGTCATGATTCAAAACCGAGCTCCATCTAGTATGCACACAGCAGCCTGTGACTCAGGTTTATGAACTATGGCAACTCCCCAGTCAGATCACCCTATCTTGGGGGGACAGTGACAGGAAAACTTCATACATCATAATTTTCCATCAGAGTAACAAGGCATTGAGTAGGGAGGAAAAAACATGCATTGAGATGTTCTGATTAGCTGCTGTCTTCAGCTTGCACTTCAGCGGAACACTTTTTTGCACAGCGTAGCTGCGAACATGATGAGTTTTGGCTCTGTTTATCCCATATCCTGCTTCTGCCTTCATTTAAGGTCCCAGACCCTGGAATACACATCGATTCAGCCTACTAATCTTGTCTAGTACCCATGCATCAGATACGCTATGTGAACAAGTCATCCTAAACTTGCTTGCTATCACCAGCTTTCTGCAGCCCAGCCTTGAGACCTTTTGCACCAGCTCTAACACAGAACTTCCCCTGCACACATCAAGGCTGCACAGACATGAAGCACCTCACAAGCAAACAAGACAATTCCAGAGGCAGCTCAGTTTCCACCCTTTGCCAGACCCTGGGGCAGTAACAGATCAGTCCCTCAGCTCAGCTAGGGGGATGCAGCAGATGCAGCTCAAACCCCTCAGCACCGTGCACCACAGCTCCCTGAGAAAGCGCTTCGCTGGCACTGGTGAAGAGGTGTTGCATTCACCAAAAATTACTTTCCCAACAAGAAAGACGACCCAAGCTTTCGTCACAGACCCTAGATAGAGCGTTAAGCCTATTTACCCAGATGCAGTCAGTCTGACACAATTCACATCTAGCTGTGGCTGTGATTAACCTAGACAGTGATGCGATCATGACTTAAAGTGCTCAGGCTCCCCATGACAACCAAACCCCAGCTGATGGTATGAAAAAAGCTCAGCTTTCACAGACCAATCTCCTAAAAGGGAGCCTAAGGTCCCACCAGAGCAGCAAGCCAGCCAAATAGCCCATCTGCAGCAAAGCAGCACACTCAACCTGGGACACAGCATTTGCTCAAAATAAACACTTTGGGTATCAAAGTGTTTTCAGTTGTGCTCAGACCCTGCTCCACTTCCAAGCAGCAAGGCAGGATTCAGGTCAAGGCACTGTTTTGACAACAGCTCCACAAAATGATTAATTGAGCCTGGATTTCAGTAGCATTGTTGTTGCTGCTGTGAGATGGCATCAGAGGACAAGCTGGCAGAGTGCTGGTGAGGCTTTTCAGAGAACAGGTATATCTAGGGGCTGGAAAATAGCAAACAGTACATTAGCTCCGACTGGCAGTGAAAAAGGCTCAGCTCACCAGAGATTGCCAGGCAGGAAGCACATGAAGCCCTCCATAGGCACATCTGTTTGTAGCAGGGGCATCTTGAGACATCAGCTGCATTTCAACGAGTTTTTTGTTCAGTAAGTCCCATGGGAATTATGGGACATCTATTAAAGATCCAGAAATAGCTCTTCACTGCAGACACAAGACCCAGCATGACATCATCTCTTCAGCTGCATCTTCTGTTTTGTCTGTGCCACCCTGATCCGAAAGTCATGTCCCAATTTCACCATTCACTTTTGCTCAAGCCATTTACTTCTCTTGACTGAACCATCTTCAAGGTGCTCAGAGAGCAGCTTTATGTTGCAAATACAGTAATAAGCATTGCTTTACATAGAAAAGTTTTGAAATGAGCACATTAGCTTGCAAGTGTTTTGTGTACTAACTGGGAAAAGCCATTTCTATGGTGAGAAAGCCCATTTTGCAAGTGAAACTGTAAAAATTACTATGGCTACACAGGCAACTCCCTTATCACCCATACGACTTCTGCAGTCAGTTTTCACATCATTGCTTACAGAGCAGCGATGGGCAGCTCACCAAAGGCCAGGGAGCTTCACCAAGGGGGTGCACACCTTCAGCCCATGTCTAGACAGAGACACTCCAACTCCAGTGCCTGAGCAGAGACAAGGAGATGGAAGAGGCAGAAGGAAAGTCAACAAGCCAAGTTCCCTCCATAACCAGTGAGACAGACAGGAGCCCTGAAGTTCAGTGAACTCCATGGGACAGAGCAATCAGATTGCTGAAGTTTATCATCTGTATGACTTTGTTTCCTCCATTTACTTCTAAGTAAAGCCAAAACTACTTTGAAACAGTACTGCTGGTAGGACAAGTCTGTCTGCAGCAGATACTGATGTGCTCTACAGTTCTGGCAAAGTTTGCATACTACAACAGCAAGAGCCCCCAGGCTCACTGCTAGCATCCTAGGGACCAGCTCCCAGGCAGTCCCTGCTCTACACAGCCCGAAGGGGGGCAAGTTTGAACCTCCATTTGAAGTCATCTCTGCAGTAAAATAAATCCAAGTTCTACTACTAGAATAAGAGAAACTTTTGAAACAAAGTTTGCCTCTCCCAATTCTGGCTTCACTTTTTTTTGGGGCCTCTTGTAGCCAGCCAAGGGCTGTTATGCTCACACCTCGAGTGCCCAGCTCTGCAGATGAGTGGAGGAAGATGCTGAAGCTCAGAACAATAAACCTCAGTGTAGGAGCAGTCATGCTCCATTAGCCCTGTCTGGTTTTAAGTTATTGCACTATAGCCTTCAGACTAGCGTACAATTTTCCATCTACCAAACTCTCCATCAGCAAAGATGAAGTACAAAGTGCCAAAGTCTGAGGCAGAACAAAGAGTTCATGGTGCAATTTCCATCAGATTTGTCCTTGCTGTTCTCACTTGAGTTTTCAACCCTTCAAGGATGCTTTCAACCTACTTTGATTTACACTAGCAGCCAGAGGAGGAAGGCTGGAGCCTGCTCCCCAATCCTCTTTACACAAACCTGCTTTAGAGGCAGACCTTGTATACAGCCCACACACCGCTGCTGCCCCATTTCAATACCTCAACCCTTTCTGCCAGCAGTTTGGCTTACGTCAAAGTGAAGTACCAGCAGGCAGCTCCCAGCTCTTACAGGCATTTGAAAAAAGTCAGCTATGACTAGACCACTACAGAGCAGAGATCCAGGATGCATAAGCCCTGCACAGATATGAGTTGTCAGTGTTTGTGACTCACACACCTTCAGGTTCAGATGATCCACTCCAAACCCAACAGGCCTGTTCCCCAGTTGGCCCAAGCAGACTTATCAAGGTCATTAGCACTAAGGGGAAAAAAAACCTGCTGAAGCAATCAGGGCACCTAGATTCTACCTCCCACTGGAAAATTTGGATAGGTAAATATAGGCATTTGAGCTGACTGGGTTAAGCCTCTTCATATGGTGACCCATAAAGACAACTGAACACCCCATGCAGGCTGGTTTGATGGCTTCAGGTTTAACAACCACTCTCATTGCTGTACACTCCCTCTATAAGAGAAAAGAGAGGCCATATGCTTTCCACTAACTCAAGCACTGCTATTTCCACACACAGGCAATAAAGCAAACAACTTGCACTATCCAGATCCAAAATTCTGACCAAAAAAAGCAATGCATCCCATTTTCCTCCCCATGGCTTTGGCTTCTGCTGGAAGCCTCAGCTGTGGCCCAAAATTCAGTTGATTTCATGCTTCAGTGCACTGTTACTGCCTTGTAGCTCTTTTTTCAGACGTAGATATGCAAGCATCCAACAGCACACCTCATTTGAATGCACACTTAGAGCAACTGCCTCTGTGCAGGTTGTGTAACATCTGCAAAGGAAGAACCCTGCGTCGGGATCTGCCAGTAAGAGTCACCCCATGCACAGAGCAGACACAAGTCATCTGCGTGCACTGGGTACCTGTGTTAAATCTCATCAACAAGTCTCCTGGAAGAGCACGAAAACATGGATCTAGTAGGCTAAGATGCACAGCTCGCTGTTTGATTAACCATAAGCTAGGAAATTAAAGGGATATTGAGACTGAAGGTTAAAGCTGGAGCTAGTTTCTAAGATCGCCTCTTTGCCCCAGCCATTGATCTAGAGGTTAATAGCTAATTGCATTGTGAACAACTTCTAGAATGAATGCGGCTCATGCCTTCAGGTACTGAACTCTCCAGTGACATTTCAAGGCTTGTTTAAGTTGTCCCTGGCCTCACTGAATCCTACAGAAGACTCTTAACCTTCTCAAACAGGTCCATCAGTCAGGAAAATCAAGAAATAGATTAAAAAATATAAGTGCCATATAAACACCTCCCTCCTGCTCTAGGCAGATCATTTGTATGCAGAGTTACAAAGAGATCCCAGCATTCTCTCAGCCCAGTGAGTGGGGCAAACCCTTCCTTAACCCATCTCCAGCTAAACCCCTGGGAATGCTGGAGGAGTGGGGGCCCGACCACTTCAGAAAGAACAGAGTCCTTCGCCAATCTGGTCTGATACTGAGTAACATATTTTAGAGAACTGGCTCCTGCCAAGCAAGCATTCCAGTCTGTTGACTAGTTCTCACTCCAGCTAGACCTGCTATTAGGTCAGCCTATGGAAAGGTACGTTAGACCGAGTCTGCAGTCCAGCCCAGGCCACTCCAGAGGGGATTACTGCCTAAGCAGCCAGCAAAGCACTTACCTGATACGACAGGCCGTCCTTGCGGGGGCTTAGCCCGATCTCATCCATCGCTGGGGTGTTCATCATCACTTCAGTCATTTCAGCTGATCTCAGATAATCAGGGCTAGAAACAAAAGACAGCATGCAAACGGTCTGAGGGGCTCCAGGAGGGCTTGAGTAAGGTTTAAGTAGCATCGGGAAAGATGCAGAAGAGGCTGTGGGTAGTCTCTCTGGTCCCTTCCTTCCTGCCCCCGCCTTGGAAGGGGGTGGGAAAAGCTCAGGACCTCGTAAACCGCCGCCACGTCCCCAGCCCCGGGAGCAATCCCCTGACTTTGTCCCCAAGAGCCCAGCTCGAGGACACCTCGGGAGGCTTTAACGGCAGCGGTTCCTTTTAACTCCGCTTCCTCCAGCTCTGCCCCCTAAGGGGGGAAAGTAAAAAAACACACTGAATAAGTGCAGACGCTGGGGGTTTTTTTTTTCCCGCCCCAAGCCGGTGTGTTAGCTCCTGCAGACTTACTTTACAACCTCAGGGACTTCCACGCCGGCGGAACGCACGGCGCCGAGTCCAGCTCTTGCTTTTTACAGCCCTAATGGCATTTCCAGCTCGAGAAAGTGAAGCGAATTCCCACAGTCCGCAGTTCCTCTAT